GGGAAAAAAAATATAGTAAGAATGAAGAACAAAAGGGGGTAAAAAGGAGGGGGTCGCGTTATTTGAGAGGGTCGATTGAAATGAGGGTAGCGTTGAATGAACTATGTCTGTACTTGTCAAGCGCATTCCTCCAAGAGAAACATCAACGCGATTTGTCGCGTACGCGTACGCCGCACAGTGGATCGCCGCAATCAGAGGGATCGAACATGAAATCTTAGACTATAACTGCAGATTTGGACATTTAATTCGTCACATTTTATATATTTAGGGGTGCTTCTAGAGGAGAATTTCACGAGGAAATCAACGGAACAACTTTTAAAATCTCAAAGTTTTGTATAAACGGAGTTATATACTTTTAAAGTTTCCAAATTTTTTTAGACCTCTCGTTCCATTGTGCGCCGCGCCGTGTGGAGTGGTCGCTCACGTCCCCGTTTTCACGCGTCGCCGCGGGACGCTCGTAAATCTAGGATCCTATCTGACTCCCGAAGCTGAGGACCATATAAATGCTAATTAATTCACGCAAAAAACGAGCAGGATTTGTAATTAACCAAATTTATGATGGAGGATGGCTAAATTCATATTGAATTGAAATCGGCTTTTTCAATATAATTTAAGGCCTATTTTGGGGTTTTCGCCGGTGATGTATGAAGAGTCGAGCCTTTGTCATAGAGACCGATCCTTAGTTGAACCAAATTCAGCAGATACGCAACAGAGTTTGTCGCATAGAGTTTGAATCGAGAATGAGAGATTTGAAGTTTTATACTATTGTTCGGTTCAATGTCAAGGGCGAAGTCAAACGCAAATTTTCACGTTGAATAGATTTTTTCCGCTAGGCGTCTGACGAAACTGTCTTTTTCATGAGTTGATCATGAAAGTAGATTCCCAGACTCGCTAAAAAAATGTCTGACCAAACTAGCGAAGAATCTGGTTCTCGGACAACCCAGGAACCGCTTTCCGCTTCGTAGTCCTGCTTTCTTCCTCTATGTGATTGTGAGCATCTCTCTCGGCTATCGCGCCATCTATGAGAGTAATACCACTATTCGGCCTCGTGGGAGCTCGTTTTGCCTACATTGAAAACTGAACTAGTGACGATGAGCTCGAGTCACCGCTTCGAGTTCGGTGAAGTCTAAATTTTTCCGGGGAATTTTCTCAACTCTGCGAATTTTGGTCATTTTTGGTCACTTTTCTAGTCTAAAATTAGCCGGCAAGTGGGGCTGACGGCCGATATGGCGAAAAATGCTGATTTTTTGGCAATCGACCGCAAACCTACAAAATCAACTTAATTTTCGCGAAAATTGATTTTCAAGTTGGTAATGGACCCCGTAAGAGACCAAAAATGACCAAACCACAATGCATTCTGGAAAATACAGACCTCCAATTGGCAAAAAATCGTAGAGTTTTTCTCTTCTCGTCTATAACAGCCACCCATTTCAGCCAATAGGATCGCTCCATACTACCTACGTCTTCTTTGTCTATCGTTATGTCGATCAATTTAAAAAATCAGCTCGCAGATCGAATCGAGCCAAGCAGTGACCCGACCTGAGCTTTGGAAAAAAAATCAGTATCTAGCGTCCAGACTCTTGAAAACATTGAGAAGAAAAAATACTCTTGATTCAATCGGATTTTTGCTTGAATCAAAAGGAAATCCGCTTAAATTAAGAGGCTTGGTTCTTCATTTAAGCTTAAATCTGATTGAATCAAGAGTACTTTTTCTTGTCGATGTTTTTAAGAGTCTGGACTCTAGATCCAATGTGTTTATTTCCAGTGAGGAGAACTGGATCTCCAGGCTCCAGCTCACCAAGCGCAAAACGTGCGGACTCCAGATTAATTTCAGTTTGTTTACCGGTCAGTGCATTTATTAAAGCGTTTATTTATTCAAATTCCCCGCCGCCGCGCCGTGGCCCGGACGGGGAGCCGGGTTCCCAGGCCGGGGAAACCGGGGAACCCGACTGCCAACGACGTGTAAAGTGCGAAGGGGTCGTTGCCGAGGTCGCCAGGCGCGCGCAACGCTCGTCACCGCGCCCGCGTGACGTCACGCCCAAAACCGCGTATCTCCCCGGTCCTCTCCACGGAAGATACGTGGTTCTCCAGGCTCCGCCCTAGTTGCGTGGTGTCGGGCGCATCGGACTCGGATTGAGCCTCGTGAGTGTGTGAGTGCATGCGAAGGAGCACTATTTTATGCGAGTAATTTCGCCCGAGCGCCTCTTAATGGTGCGTCTCCCTCTCTCGTATCATGGGATGCAGCAGCAGAATGCAGTTATGATCAGCAATTGTGCCGAGCAGAAACAGAATTATTTTCATCTAGTCCTCTCTCCCCCTCCCCCCGCCCTCGCACATGTAATATGCAACTGAGACCGTCCTGCCTCGCCCGGCAAGAACGCCGTAAGAACATTTCAGCTTTGCCAAATTTCTCCCAGTCAAATATTTACTTCTGAGAGCAAAAATTTACACAGAGAAAAAAACCTCGTGCGTGGGACCCGAAGTTTAGGTCATATGGATCTCTGAAGTTTTCGGATCGAGCATCTGAATTCATAAGGTCTAGTTGCCGAAGTTCAGGTCTGACATTTGAAACTTCAGTTCTTACATCTGAAGTACTTCAGATGTGAGAACCGAAGTTTTTCGGATGTGAAAACCGAAGTACTTCAGATGTAAGAACTGAAGTTTCAGATGTGTGATCCGAACCTCGAGAGCTAGATCTTAAGTGTTCAGATGCTCAATCTGAAAACTTCAGAGATCCATATGATCTAAACTTCGGGTCCCACGCGCGAGGTTTTTTTCTCCGTGTAAATATACGTAGTACTCAATCCGATAGTGGGGTGGTGATTTTGGAGAGTATTTTTTTTTATATATATATTCCCACTTACATTGGATTAAAGCACGGAAAAATTCTCTGAAAAATTATATGGGAGAAAATCATAAAATATTTAACAAATTTGTGTGTAACGAACACAACTTGGCAACACCCGAACCTCCGTGCGACGTTTTTGCTTATAGTGCAGCGATGTCCCTGTTCGTTGAGTTTGCGTGGTTCTTCCTCTTCTCCACCATCTCCTCCTCCTTCTCCTTCTTGGACTCGTCTTTTTTCCACGGGTCTGCAATCATCATTATTTTCATTCGAGTCCTGTTTTTTTTCCTCCTTTTCATTTTTGAAGCTGACATGTGCCTGTGCTTGCTATTCCCCTTCCTCCCCTCGAGTTCCATTTCAGCCGGTTCCCATATTTCCCGGTCGTTCTTCAATTTGAATGTTAACTGTTGCAAAATTTCACATATTGGCTTCGTTAACAAGTATGAGTCATCGTCTGCGGAGAAAAATACGCTAGTCCATGAAGCTACCATTTTAAGTAGAGCGATATTAGTCAAATTTTTCAGTGTAGTAATTTTTAAAGTTAAGTACTTACATTGAGTCACTTTCACAGCGCTGCCTCGCGCTCGGCGACGCCCAATCGCCATTGCCCCCTATCCTCCCAGAGATCATCAGGGAATTGGCACTTTCTGATCTCTTCCTCCACCCCATGTTGCCAACCCCTCACAGGACGTCCACGCTGTCGCCTTCCGGGAGGAACCCAATCGAAAACCTGCTTTGGCAACCGATCGTCTTAGAGTTTATAGTTACTCTTTAAATTTTAAAATTTAGTCGATTTCAAATTCTAGTTCAAATGTGAATGGCTTGATGACCGTCTAAAAAAATTCCTAGCTCGCAAAAGCCGAAAATAGCCAAGCAGCCACAAGTTTTGAAAATTGGTACGACCCATTGACGTTATCAACCCTTGTCACATTACACCATCAACAGATTTCTTCGTCATCAGCCGAAAATGATGCGCATTTCACTGAAAATAGCTGGGGAAAGACGAAATATTGCAATCTACTTTCGAAGCTTTTTGGCTATTTTCGACTGAAGACAGGGCACCCATTAATGACGTAATCTAACAACGGTTGATTACGTCCTTGGGGCACCTACTTTTGGCCATTCCTCGCACTGGTTCCGACTGATGACGTCGCAGTGGCACCATTGATGAAGTCATTGGGACAACAGTACCAGCCGTTGCTGTCATCGGAACACTCCTTACACCCCTTATGATTACAATCATCGGGACACCCTTTAATGACGTAATCAAGACACCCATTTATAGCGTCATAATGACATTCGTTGATGATGATCTCATATCTTAAATACTATGGTCTTCACATTTCAGATCAGCATTTGTAAGCAGAGTATACCGCTGATATCGAGTCAACCTCTTTTTTTTCTTGTTTTCCTCTGTTGATCGGTAATTTCTAGAGTTGAAAAACTTAATGAAGTAGTATAGCGTTAAAAAGGCATGTAAACATACTGCAGGGTCTTAGACCAAGAATGCAGGCGGAAAAAATCAAAACAATAGCTCTAAAAGGCAGCCGCACCACCGGCTACCCTCACGGAAAAATCAACAAACCGTAAAAATGCGACGGTGTAAATTTATTAAGGATCATCGAAGATCTTATCGGAGCAGTATACCGTCTTTTGGACCCGATTTTTTCCCATCATCAACACCGTTATTAGTAAATATTTGTTTTTTCTTCGTCTGTTCATCGGAAAGAAACTCGGTTCGAGATGAGGGAGCTGCTCGAAGCACGTCCCACATAAGACAGGTAAGGGTGGCGCCTAATTTATTACCTGACGATCCACTTAATTAATTCCTTCGCTCCTTTTTTAAGAGGTAAGTGCTACCACTATTGTTCTTTTCTGATTCGGTGGTTTTTCGGTGAATCATACGTCATATTGTGAGGCTGTTTTTTTCGCACTGTAAAATGTATTCTTTCAGTTTATCATTTAGTACAAAGTACTGTACTTGTTAAATTAGGAAGTGATGAAATTTGAGCAAAAATAAATTATCAAGACCATAGTTTATTTCAAAAGGGGCAAACTTAGGGTTTTTCCAAGATTGAGTTACTTGCGCGGAAAAGGGCTCTTTTACCTAAAAAAAAAAAAAGCTTTCGGAAAAAAGAAAAGAAATAACGAAGTCTGCCCATTTTCAAAATACACGATTTAATTGATCGCGTGAAACGATTGAACTGCGTCCTATATGTGCAGTAAGTCATATTTTTGCATATTCACAGTTTTCAAAAAGCCAACTACGATAATGTACTTGGCACAGCTGATGCTTCATCGTTGGTCCTGCACTGTGCGGTATCCTCTTCTTCTTCTTCTTCTTCTTCTTCTTCTTCTTCTTCTTCTTCTTCTTCTTCTTCTTCCTCTTCCTCTTCCTCTTCCTCTTCCTCTTCCTCTTCTTCTTCTTCTTCTTCATATTTTTCTTTTTCTTCTTCTTCTTCTTCTTCTTTTTCTTCTTCTCGTGATGAGGATCGGGCTTGTTTTCCTCTATAAAATTAGAAACAAAACCCAGTTTAAAATCATGATTTTGAAAGGTCACACCTTTCACCTCCGGAAAGATTAGAGCGGTCCAAGATTGTCCATCCGACTGCCACAAGAAAAAAGCTATCAGCTAGATCTCCGCCTGTTTTAGTGCAACCCTCGGACTTCACAAGGCGATACCGAAGTAAGTCGCCCATGATAGCGGCCGCGTGTTCGAGTCCCACAATAATCATGAATTCAAATTAAAAGTAATCGATTTAATTCTCTCGGTCTCGGAGAGAGTAATGATGAGCCGCGCGACTATTTACCCCCTATGTCGCCGAAATAATATGTAAAACACAGCCGGTAATTACAACGCTGAGGGTAATATTAATCGTCGCGTTGTAAGAAGGGGTTCCAAAACGGACTCGGTCCAGCAGGTCGATTTCCATCGACAGTTCCCTATCTTAGCAATGCTATTAATCGATCGCGGTCATTCGATACGATTCGGAGATCGACCCTCGGGGTAAAGCGCGGGGGTGACCTCCCCCTGTGTCCTCACCTGGAACACGCGCTGTGGGGGTCTCGAGAGATAACAAAACAGATGAATCATTTGTAAATGCACCACCAAAACGCATCACCATCACCATTATAAATAAACGTATACACGCGTATTAGACACTCGTGCCCTGCGCCTGTCCATAGACGAAAAGGGGTGTATTCATATGTATAAGCAATGTGTTTTTTTTTCTTCTTTAGTACTGGAAATGATACTCAACTTTCGATGATGAATTTTTTTCGAGCGGAGTTTCGGGTCTTTTCCAACATTCCAGCGGAGATGGGACCCGACGAAATATGCTAAATATGGGCCTCTTTCAAATTTTTGAGGGCGCGTTGAATATCCTCGTATCCCTGTCTTGCATCTATAATACGCTTTTGATCGGCGGTCTATGGAACTGAATGGTATGTATTCGTCGTATTTGTCGCTGTTGGTAATTTTGAATGGAATCAGTCGATCGCACCGACAGCATACTACAGAAATTGTCTCGTGATAAGTCAATCAGTATTATGAAAGTCATGAGAGGTATAATGGTTGAAATTATCAAATGAAACATATTATGGCTGTTACAGTTATTTCCATATTCGTACACGCCATTGAAATTGGTAGTTCCTTTGGATGTTCTTTAATCGGACTTGACAAAGAAGAAAAACATATATTTGGACGTAACTATACTTGTGAGAACTATCTGCATACAATTCTATCAAAAAGAGCTTTGTACACATACTCCCCACATCGTAGCTACTTTTGATCGAATTATTTTGAATATAATACTTTTTAACATAAATATGTCCATTTAAATCTCGAATTATATTCAAAATTTAACCTTGGATACAAAAGCTCCCTAAAAGGTTTTAGTCAATCATTTCTAACTCAAAAAACTTGCTGCTGGTGATTAGTTGTGAATTATTATTATTATCATCATCTAAGGGAAAGATCGACTGTTTGTTACTCTTATGCATTCAGTGGCGTGGAGAACTTTGCGATATATTGATTAATTTGCCCTTTAAACCTATGGAAACGGATCAATAAAGAGGGTGATGGTAACGAACGCCTTAATAAACAATTTTCTACCAAAGCTTAAAATGGGGAAATATCGATAATCGATCATTCGCGCCTCGCCAATGTATGCATCATCTCCTCTGAACATTTTTTATAATACTTTTGACCCATTCGTTTATCTATTTTTACGTTTTTGAAATAACATGTACGCAAAAAAACAAGCAAGATTACAGTTGAGATAATACTGTAATCTGGATGTGTGGGTATGAAAATGTCAGTAAATATTTTAGTCGTATATAGGACTTATGACTGCGTGCTCGAATAGCACACAATGCGACGTCACCACAAAATCACTATAATGCCTTTTTCCCTTTTTCTTCTGTTCTTTTTTAATGATACGTGAGATTGGAGTAAACCAGAGGAATGAGAAACACGAGGTGAAATGCCTCTCCATCATTAGGGACCCTTTTTGAATCATTAACTTACTCGCTTGCAGAAGGAACAAAACGCTAGATTTTGCTAGTTCTTTTATACTAAGATTTGATTAATGTTTTTTTTCCTTCAGATTTCTCTCATTCCGAAGCACCGCTAAATTTTCTGAAATTAAATAAAGTGTTACTAATTATATTAGTTTCGCCTGTTAAATAAGGTAAGTGATTGAAGCCGTTTTCAATCTATTTTGGTTTCAAGTGAATGATTATTCTTTCGAATACAGCTCCTCAATCGAGTTTCTCTCAGTGAAGACTGCAAAATGGAGAAAATAGGCACAAAATTTATGATAAATTTTTTTTTAAAAATGTGGGAAACATTGAACGCACTTTTAGGGTGACTTGGTTTCGCGTATCAAGGTAAATGCACAAAAATAAAAACTTATAAGTATAATTACATGTCTACCAGATTTTGAACCTAAGTAGAACTACTTTGGGTGAAGAAAATTAAAATCATTGTTGCGTTTACATGAGGTATAAACGTTGATAAGTTCTATCTCAACTTACAATTAGATTATTATCAACCTAGTTATTATTATCAACCATATATTATTATCAACCAGTTTTTCGAGGTCTAAAATCCGCCCGTTTAACGTGCTATTTTCCGTTTGGGAAGAATATGGTTTTTCCAAAGTCCTCGAGTGCTCCAAGTGAAAATTCAAAAAATATGTCTCCTCGCATGGAGTTGGTAATACAATTGTGGATTAACTCCGCGACGGCACTTCCCTAATAGCACATCTGGTTTTAAAAACGTTTTTAAAAGGTGTCAATGAAACCTTTGAACATTTATAAAATGTTTCACTGAAACATTTTAGATACTTAGAAAGTTTAAATCACGTTTCAGAAACGTGCCTGAAACCTTTCTATGTCACCCTTTTAAAGGTGTCAAGTGACACCTTTCAGAGATGTGTCCTTAAAACCTTTCAGATTCGTTTTCAATTTATTTCAGACTCAGGTCAGGGAAGGCTGTACCTCTTTGACACATTTTTGACACCTCCTTAAAACAGATCGCAAAATCTTAAATTGTTTCAGAAATGTTTCAGAAATGTTTCAGACATGACTTCCGCCTGAAAAAGTTTAAATCACGTTTCAGAAACGTGCCTGAAACCTTTCTATGTCACCCTTTTAAAGGTGTCAGGTGACACCTTTCAGAGATCTATCCTGAAAACCTTTCAAATTTGTTTTTGACTCATTTGTGACACATACTTTTTAATGGTCACAAAATCTAAAATCGTTTCAGAAATGTTTCAGACATGAGTTTCAAAAGTTTAAAGAACGTATCAAAAAATGAAAAACTGAATGTTTTCAGGATACCTCTCTAGAACGTGTCCCCGCAACCTCTAAACCAGTTGCATAGACAGGGGTCAACCATGATTGACACCTCTCTATGCAACTGGTTTAAAGGTTGCGGGGACATGTTCTAGAGACGTATCCTGAAAACATTTAAGGTTTTATTTCATTTCAAATCTCAACTTGTCTTTTCTGTTATTTTCTGACAAATAAATATTTTTTACATAGAAATTGTTTTAGAAATTTTTAATCGTCCACACCATCTTAGAAACGTCCCATATATCATCACTTGGAAACATGTCAGCAAAATTTAGAGTACAAATATTTTCATACTGAGTTGTTGCCCCAGCAGTCAGAATACATGGTTTTTTTTTTTT